CCGTTTCAGGACCTCCCCGCTCTCCAAGTTGTGCAGGCGAGGCGTACGAACGGGGAGATGTCTCCTCGCCGCCGTCACCCAACCCCAGCACTATGCTTGGCGTGGCAACTCCAAGGTCCGACGTCTTCAGCATTCGCTCGACGGAGCCCATATTCATCGAGCAAGCATCGCTTGTTCGAATGCAGTCATCGGCCTCCACCCACACCCTCAAACGATCCAAGTCCAATGGCCAGCTTACCCGCACCAGCTCGCGGTACCGGGATACACTGGTGCGGCTGAAGCACAAAAACAGCCTTACAGAGGGTGCTAATGCTGACAATCTGGCGAACGTCCGTTCTGTTCCTGGCCATGTTCTCGTCCCAGAGGTTCCACAACGGGAAACCAAGGCTGTTGAGATCCCCAAAACCGTGTACGTCAGGTCCCCCCGGGCGAACAGTCCAGTGCCGTCGCCAAGGGAGGAACTGGCTTGGCATCACAGGCGAATCACGAACAGATATGTCGACAGAGGAACCGACGCCCAAGATGCCGAACAAAGCGAAGATGCTTTCCTGCCGGTGTTGCCATTTCACGAAGACCTCGTGATTCATTTCAAAGATGAGAACCCAGACCCGATACTGGAGCACATGATCAAGTCGTTCAAAGAAGGTACCTACCCAGTCACGGTGTCTCCGGGTAGTTCCCGCAACACATCCATTGCCGATGGTCGTTCGACAGCTCCCAACACTCCGCCACTGCCGACAAACGATTTTCTGACGAAAGCACCTACTCCCGCGATTGCCGTCGGTGGGGGGGAGTACGACCCCTACTCCTACGACGACACCGTTTTGGCTAGGAAGCACCCTCTGTCTGCCCCCAGGAGCATGACGGTCTCAGCCTTGCCGACACCGGCACACACGCCTCCCCCGACAATCCCGGAGCCGGAGGATAAGTTCCACGACTTCAAAGCTGTGAAAGGTCAGACGGCGGTGGCCATGCAGAACTCACTTCGTTCAGTACTCAACATCTACTTTCCACCCAACGGAAGGGGCTACTCTCAGTTCGGCTTTCCTCTGCTGCCTGAGATGGAAGGGTTGTGGAAGCCCATTTTCCGCGAGACCGACCTGAGAGAAAGCTTGGGCAAGGACAGCCGCCAAATTGACCTGATCCTGGCTGTTGGAGCACAGCGTGGGGTCAATAAGCCGTTCGTCTCAGGGGTGATCAGCCAACTTGAAAAGCTGGGCAGTAAGCCGAATGGAACCTGCCGAACTGGTAGGCTCGACTTTCGGTGAGTAGTTGTCCGTCATGTTATTGTGCTTAATAGATCAGGGCTAACTTTGCTTTTCAAGATACCTTATTGCCAACGCGATGCAGTCGTTCACTGCACAGCCCCTGGCGAGGCAGACCCACGACAACCCCTTTACGAACTCGTATTTTCTGGCAACTCTCATCGTTCCTCATCTCGAGACGTATTTGGCTGCCCACTCGGAAGTCCGCTTCCTGCTCCTCGATTACCCCCCTGACCATCTCGCCACCGTTCTTGCTCTGCAAAAGCTAGTTGGGGTTGACATGATGAAAGTCGCTCAAGTAATTGATGCCGCAACCAAAGAGCCACTCCTCTTTACGCATGCCCGGGGCAACTCCCTGGGCCGTGTCTCGCCGAGAAACGACTTTGTTTCGAGCTCGTCGAGCTCGGTCCAGTCGAAGGATTCCAAGGCTGCCGCGTCTGCGCCCTCAAGAGACGGACTGGCGGTCTCAAAGGCCAACCTCCTTCTCGCGTCGACTGCAACCGAAATAGAAGTTGCCACATTTGTCTCGACTGTCCGGACGCTTCTGATCAGCATCTCAAAATTCTATTTGCCTGACAAGGGATCGAAGAAACTAGGCAAGCTGAGAACGGGCAACCCCTCGCCCATCACACCACAGACCATGAGCCCTCCGATTTCCCCCCTTTCTATCAGGAGCAGGAGGCACATCAGGACGACAAGTTCTGCTAGGTCCTCGCCCAGGACCTCGTCTATTACGGACAACATCATGGTCCGCCGCCTCAAGTCCCGAAGAGGTGGTGACACAAGGCCGGGTTTGGGCGATGACGGATCCATCATGACGGTTGATATGGAATTTGAGAGCGATCTAGACCTCGAGGAAAGGCGATTGATGCCCATGTTCCTGAAGAAGAACCACATGCGAAAGGGCAACAGCCGCAAGGCTTTGAAGTTCCTGGGGTTGGCATGAGCCGGTCCTCGGCGACTTTGTACTATACTGTATGCCGTAAGAGCCTGCGGGTTGGCTCTGCACACTTCTTTTTCTCTCTGGACGACTGTTATGATGCTTTGCGTCTATTTTTTTGATTTCTTGCTTTCTAACCATAACCCGGTGGATCAAGGAAGGCTGGGATCCTCAACGGGGGGGGGGGGGGGGGGGGGGAGGCGGCAGAGGATGACCTCGCTTCAAGTAACGAGAATGTCTTCATGTACAGAGATATGGAAGCGAGAAATGGATGGACACTTGCTATTCGGTTGAAGCAGCCGACAACCACCTTTGCTACGCCTGTCAAAATGGATGGACGCTGCAATACCCTGGGATAAAAGATGGCCCGTAAATAGCGTAGAAATTCGATTACACAATGTGGCTTTCTACCCAAGCATGCGTGCATTCTTCAGCAAGGGGTTCTCTCAGACAGAGCCGCAGATATCTCATGGGGTCTGCGGTCGAAACCTATGTGCGCGAGGGTAGACGCCGAATCCGAGGTTTGCCAACGAACCCATGACCAGTTTTTGTCGCCGAGGGCCCAAAAAGTCGCCAGAGCGAGCGCTGCCGTCGATGCTCATCCAGAGTACGCGGGTTGATGATGCCTCATCACTTATACTGGCCAATGACCCCCCCTCCCCATCAACGCAGAACGTAAAGAGGAACCCGACCAACGCACAGATCTGACCACCATCGTGGCTAGGGCTGACCAGTCCCCCTAATGACATCCAAGAGATGGTCCGGAAGATAGTCCTGTACGTTCCGCTAATTGACGTACTACAGCTCAGTCCCGAGTTCTCCAAAGCCCTGAGAACAATGTCACAACGCATAGCGGTTCGTTCGCAAACCCCAAAAGAAATCAGGGACAAGGAGAAACCCGTGGTTGACCCCCCTTCTGCTGGCATCAACATCAACAAGTCAGGTCACACATCATGTCCACCAACGATCCAACACTGAACATCCATCCGTGCCTTTTTTTCAAAGCAGTACTTGGGCCACCTGACGACCATTCAGAATTGGTTGCAATCTTGGCGACGCTTCCTCACAGAGGACATACACGACTAAACGCCATCTTGGAACCCCTCCCGGGGACGAGTATCCAGACGTAAAAGGGAACGAGGGGGCGCTGTTCCGGTGAGAAGAGCCGGATGACCCGAGTTTTGTCCCTCCATGACGTCAAATACTAAGACTGCCGTCGGTCGCCCTGCCTAACCTGATAACCCCCTCGCATGAGACGGCGGACAATGCCTTCAGCCCCCCCATGCCATTCCATGGCACCAGCAAAGGCATGGAGATGAACGTCCAAAACAAGATGTGGAAATAAACACTCACGACCCGCGCTGCCAGCCGCGGCGGGCCTTGGAAGGAGGTTTTTCTCTAACCCCTAGAGTAGAGCCCGACCGGCCGGCGGAGGTTGGGAGGAGGAAGAAGGGGTGGGGGGTGCAGGGGCGGCCTATCGGGGGCCGGGCGGGAGGGCGCGCGGAAAAAGGGTTCGATTGTCTACCTGCCTAGGCTGATCCGCATGTGACCGCGCGGGGGGTCATGTGCTCTCCCGCCCCCGTGTCATCCTCTATCCCCCCACTCCCTCTACCGCTTCCGCGTGCTTCTGAGCCCCTGAGGAGATTGGGACCGCCCACGTGCACCCGACCCCGTGACCGGCCGGTATTTCCGCAGGCCCTCCCCCCCGAACCGCAGCGCCGCGCCGCGCGTCACACTGTTTCCTCGTATTTACAACTCGTGTTCGCCATGTAAAACCTCCACGGCGCGGGTCGGGGTCGGGGTTGAGGGTGGACGCGAAACGTAAACCAGGCATTTGGCAAGGTAGCAATCGAACGAAATGGGGGGGAGGACGGCTTCTTAAACTCCAGACGACATCGCGGCTTAGGGACCTCACTTTCAAACGTCCCGGGTGAGGTTGGGATGGATAGATGAAGAGGAGGAGGAGGAGCCGCCACAGCACGAGACGACGCGGCAAAAAACAGAAGAAGAAAAGAGTTGAAACGCAGAGTGTTTAATGCAGAACAAACAAGGAACACGTCACTTGGTCCATTACTTTCGATCCTATCCTATCTACCGTACCGGGGGCGGGAAAGACAACGGCAATCGCCAAAAGACGACGGAAAACCAAGAAAGGCAAAAAAATAACAAAACACCGACAGACAGAGAAGAAAAACACGCAGATACCGTGCGGTCTTGCCTGCTTCGTTGCCCATGTGATTCGCCCCGCTGCCGTTCATGTTCGTCGCAGAATACACGGTGTGCCAGCAAGACACGGCCTACGCAAACATACACACACACACACACACACACACACACACACACACACACACACACACACACACACACACACACACACACATAGATACGAACATGTCGAGATGGACTCGTATCCTCCCCTGACGGGCGTCCGAGAGCCGGACCACTGGATACGTCATCACCGAAAGGTCCCATCTCGTGCCATGAACAAACGTCGTGAGTCCCATTACAGAAGGTATCTTGTGTTGATTGCGTGTGCGATGCGGAGGTGGAGCTGGAACAATCCAAATCAACACTCGTCTATGCTTAGAACAAGTCTGGAAAGCAGCCGTAGCGGGGGAAGGAGAGAAAAGCAGACGACGCAGCCTTTATCTGAGCCGAATCTGATCCCGACACCTGTGCAGTCTCCCCCCTCGCCTAACCTGCCCAGCTGTCTCCCCTCCGCCGAGAAAATCCGTAAAATGCCATAGAACACAGGTAAAGAAAAGCGGGCTTCGTGGAAATCAGGGTCGAGCCGCTTAGCAGCAGCCGCCGCCCGAGTTCGAGGAGACGCCGTGTCCGGGTCCGACCTGCACGGAGGGTTTCGTGTTGTTCGCGGTCGTGCTGCCCATGCGCTCCTTGATTTGGCGGGCCATGGTCAGGAAGGCCTGCTCGACGTTGCTGGCGTTCTTCGCAGAGGTCTCGAGGAAGGGGATGCCCAGGCTGTCAGCGAACTCCTGCAACGGGTGTCAGTATGTCTCAGATAAAAACAGAAAGCAAGAGGGAGGGGGGCGTGCTCATCGCCGAAGATGGCGATAGTCGGGGTCCAGCTTACCTTGGCGACGGTGTACTCGACAACCTTCTTATCGGACATATCGCTCTTGTTGCCGACAAGCAGCTTGTTGACGCCCTCGGTGGCGTACCTGTCAATCTCCTGGAGCCACTGCTTGACGTTGTTGAACGAGTCCATGTCGGTCACATCGTAGACGACGCAGATGCCGTGGGCACCGCGGTAGTAAGAGGAAGTGATGGTGCGGAAACGCTCCTGGCCGGCGGTATCCCACTGCACAAGAAATGAACCGCGTCAGTCTATGCGACAAACGGATATTGCCCAAGAATTCGGCGGCAGGGTTTGAACTTACGATCTGGAGCTTCACCGTCTTTCCGTCGAGTTCTATCGTGCGGATTTTCTGTGATTCAACGTCAGCAGCCGTTCGATCGGTGTCAGATGGACGGAGAGGTGGGGGGGGGGGGAAGCATACAAAGTCGACACCGATAGTGGAGATGTAGGACTCGGTATAGGTGTCGTCGGCGAAACGCAACAGAAGACAAGACTTTCCAACACCGGAGTCACCGATGAGGAGGAGCTTGAAGAGGTAGTCGTACCTGCGGTCGGGTTAGTATCGGTGTCGGAGACGAGCGGGCAGCGTTGGCTTCGTCGTCTTCGCAAGGAAATGACGATGGCATCGAGAGGGCGGGATGGATGGAGGGGGACTCTGTGACAGATAGCAGGTCAGCTTGGCGGCGGCTCCCGAGGCTACCCTCGTTTCAAAAGGCAAGAGAGGCAACGTACTACTCGGGGTTCATTGTGAAAGGCTAGGGGAGGGGTTGCGATGAAGGCTAGTAGAGTTGTTGTTGTGCGGCGGTCTGGAGGGGGGCGCGCGGGGCGATTATATGGGCGTTGGGTGTTGAGAGGTGATGGATTTCGGTGGTGTCGTGATGAGGTGTCGAAAGGAGCAACAAAGCCAGGTCAAGTGAGGTAGGAGAGTCGAACGGAGTACGGCAGGCTGCTACGTCAAGGTTTCTAGCGCGGGAGGGTGTACCGATACCGCCAGTGCCAGTGTGTAGAGTACTTAGCAGTGCTAGTCCAGTCTCTGATTAGTGTGCTTGGTGTCCTGTGCCCAGAAGAAGTCCTGCGTCTAGGTAGCGGCACCACCTGGCGGAAGGGAGCGAACGGGGCCCACCTCCACCTGGTCAGTCAGGGCTCATTGGGTACCGCTGACGAATGAAACCTTTTCCAAGTGGCACGGCGAGCACGGGACTTATCACGTGAGCTTATTGCATGTGGTCTGGACCGGCTCTAGGCACCTAGTTACCCACCTTAAGGTGGGCAAGGCATCTACACCGGATACCATAGTAGATAGAGGTACCAAGCAGGTACCTAGGTATTCAGTCATCGGCTTTCGGCTGTATTATGTAAACAAACCACCAGGTGGAGGACAATTGCCTACCTATTCGTATTCCTTGAAGCACCTCCGCTAGAAGCTGCGACCCGCCGTGCAAGTTTCCTTCAAACGTTGGATCGAGTCTGGGTTTCCTTGGGAGGTTGAAAAGCATACTTTTGTTTACTGCCCTTTCCACCACCACTGCACACCTGCTATTCGTCCTTCGCGCAAGTCTCACATCGAGACTTGTGCGGAGGCTCTGCATAATACCTCGGTTTATAGTTTGATCTAGAGTGCATGGGTTCATTGATATACCGATACCCCCACAGCCCGCCCTATCCTACACATTTCGTTCGTTTGGCTCGTGTGGAGCTTCCGGGTTGCAACCTCATCCCGACCAGCGGTCGACTTGAACTCGCTCCAGATTAGCAATGTTTGATATAGGGTCGTGGTGTAGCCCTGTCGTCTAATCTAATATCTCAAACAGGCAGACAATGACGCTGCCGTCTTACTGTGCCGCACTGGTCTGAGTGAGCTGCTGATTCATGGTGACCCAAGTGCAATTGCTGACTGGCATCGCTCGTCCGACGTAGGAATGAAACACCGACGATGATCGCCAAGCAGTGTGCATGCGCTCGCTGTCAGACTTGCAAAGCTGCCGCTCCCCATAGCCAAGGCTGATTTGTGCTTGGGTAACCTTGGAACACCATTCGTGCAGGCCTTTTCGCCGGCGCCTCTTTGACCCGAGCAGATTACGAGGCTTCCGAAGACATCCCCACAAGTGGTTTGAGGGGCTCAGTCATCATCCGCCTTTTTCTTGGTGACGGCTTTCAGCCCTGCCATCGTCACGGCGAACTCGACAGCGCCGTCCAGGCCCTGGCCTGTCGCCTTCGTGTGGGGAGCGAAGACTACCTTCATCCACCGACGCCAGTTCTTCAGCGCCGGCACCCCCCGTTCGTCGGCCTCGTCCTCGATATGTCGATGCACTCCATACACGGGCTTTTTGAACAGCGCAATGCGGTACGCAATCTGCGACGACCAGATCAGACCCAGGCTGGGCGTCTTGAGTCCGTAGTCGGCGAACGGATCGTCGCCCCATCCCGTGAACCACCGTTGCTGGTGGTCCAACGCTAGCGCGGGAGGCGCGGGCGGGCCGAGGTCATCCGGACCTGAGGGTTCGGGCATGCTGGACCGGACATGTTCGGCTATGGACGACGTCGGCTCGACGGCTGAAGGTGAGAAGGCTCTCGGCCCCCTGCTCCGTGACGCCAGCGGGCTTTCCTGAGTGGACCCGTCGCCGCCGGGGGGATGCGCCATCCTAGGGGTCGCCATCGGCACGAGGGGGCTGGAGAATCGGTCTGCCACTTGATTCGCAACCACGACGGCCAGGTTGTACTTCTGGGCCAGCTCCCTAAGCAAGGCCCCGAGCCGTGTCAGCTCGGTGCTGCGGGCTCCCATGTTGGACCCGAGGCTGCTGACATGGCCTCGCTCGAACTCGGCTCGGTAATTGGAGGCCACGGAGTCGAGCACGATGAGCCCGGTGTTGCGGCGCTCGACCTCGACGGGGACCTGGAACTGGAGAATGTGCTCCTGGGATTCAAGATCAGGGGTCGAGGTGCTGGAAATGCCATCCAAAGACGGCCTATCCCCGGGCGGCAGATCCGCAAAGCGAGGATTGGCCGATAACATCTGGGAGAGGCGTATCGTCGACAGCTGTGCTTCCGTTGTGATGTATAAGGCGGGGCGGCCCAGGCCGTACGGTGGTGGCAGCTGGACAGCCAACAGTAGAGACAGCAGAAGCTGCGTTTTACCAACACCGCTCTCACCCGTGACCTCGGTCACGTAACCGGTCGGAAGCCCTCCCCCCAGGGCTCGGTCAAGGTCATCATCGAGAGTGCTGATTGTGGACCACTGGTTCTCGAGGTCTGTGAGCGAGCGTCTGAGGAACGGGTTGCCGTTTGACGGTTGCCGGTTCGCGGGGTTGAAGTCACGGTGGAGGGCGTCCACGACCGCCGCGCATAGCCGTTTGATGTCGAGCAGAGGCAGCTGGGTGCGTTTGCCTATTTCGACGACATCCTGGGTCAAAAGGTCGGTGGTGGAAAATTGGTGGCGTTCCAACTTCTGCAACAGCCCAGCAAACTGCCCAACTGGGAAGTCAGGTATGAGCTGAAGCAGGTCGGTCATGGCATGCGAGAGTGAGGCGGCGGCATGGGATAGTCGAAGTGACAAGTTTGGATGAGGTGAGTGAGACGCGATGCGACGCCGCGCCGCGCCGCCGCGTCAAACGCAGCGAGCCGATCCTACTTGGTGGGATGGGTTGCAGGGATTGCTCCTTCTCAACGCAGCATAGTCATTGATCACTCAAGATTGTTGCCCCTGGAGAAAGGCGATGTGCGTTGGAATCGATGAAGTCGACTTACGTTCAAGTTGTTGATTCGTGCATTACCCCCGAACATTGTTTCCCATTGGCAGAAGCAGCAAGTGGAGATCTCGGACCCATCGATGCTCCATATGATTATGTAAGGCAGGAGGGGAGCGGGAGGGGGCGGGGCGCATCGACGTCCTTTCAGCTTCTTTCAACTACTTACCTCATTATCATCAGCTCGTGGCGTGCGTATTGGGAGCTGCCGTTCGTTATCAAGCATCGGCGAACCATCAGAATTGACCGCATATTCTGTGAAGACGCGGACGCTCCGTACACGTCAACTCGCTAAACCCCAGATCGCGCCCTGGCATGTGCAGACGCCAAGGACTCCATTCAGACAGCATGCGGCTACACGTGCAGATGATGTACAGGCGGAAGCCACTCGCTTAGCAAGATGGCTTCATCAAGCGCAAGGTACGGAGTAGACCACGCGAAGAAAGACAGAACGAGCAGGCGGAATCCCTAGCGGACCAGAACCTGACTGGACTACACTATCGAAACACATCTCGTGTCCATGTCAACCTGGCCCAAAAAAGCAAGCACACGCTCGAGGCTGAAGTCCGCCTTCAGGCGGAGATCTTGTTTAATTTTGAAGCACCAGAGAGGGCTAGCGCCGTCTCTGGCTGTAAGTCACTAGCCTTCTCTGGCCCCGAGGGCGTCAGGCTCACACGCCGGATGCTCTCTGGCTGGCACGCTAAGAGCGGGAAACCCGACGCTCAACGGCACGGTGTCCCACTTGTCGTGCCCTCGATGCACTCCTGGGAAGGCCGAAAGAAGTGGCCTCGAGTGCTTTGAGCTTCGCCTTTTCGCTTTCGGTCACGGCCCTAGGCAACAATATTAAGGTCTCTGGACGTGCCCGAGCTGTTCTGCTTCGGGGGAGGGGTCACGATCGACGAAGCAGGGCCACCTCTGTCAGAGACCTCGGGCTGGGACCCTCGCCCAACTGGGTGTATTTCTTCTCCTGTGTTATGTCTCCGAAAGCATGTCAAACAGCCTCTTACTACTCGGGCGTCCTCTGATGTTCATCGGCATCTGATGCGCATTCCCCCAAGACCCTTGCCCTCCGTCTTCGTGCTGCCCCGCGCTTCTCCCCGCTCACCCTAGATTCATGCGGCCCCGTGGCTGTCTCTCCTTGCCTCTCCCATCCGCACTAAGCCTACTCTTGTCGTTCAGCTCTGGCAAGCCACAATGGGTCCGACTGCAGTGCAAATGGGTCGGCGGGACTCTGGATGCTCGAGCAGCCAATCGCCTCGAGCCGAGCTCATCTGCTGGGCTGAGCGAAGGGTTAGTCCAGGGCTGAGCGACTTGCGGCTTCTCTGTCAAAGTCGCCCGAGCATTCACAGGCCCTTGTTGTGCCTGCACGCCGCGACCATGGCTCGTGCCTATAGAGTGGTGGAACAACAACAATGGGCGGGGTGGGAGAACACAGAGGCAGCACTCTCGGTCTGGTGTATAACAATGGCGGCCAGCCTCTCTGCTCTTCGACCCCTCCCCCCTCCTCCCTCTTGTTCTAATTGGATCCTCTCGAGTCGCCCGGCCGCATAACACACCTAATCCACTGTTCAATCCACTCCGTCGAGACCTGAGATGGCAACTTCGTTCCGATATGCCGCTGGCCTGGCGGTCCTGGCAAGTCTCGCCAATGCCACAGTGTCGTCTCGGCTGCCCCGGGCCACGATGACGTTCAACTTCCCCCTCGACCAGTTCGCACCGCGGCCGACCAAGGCACCTGTATATGGGGACCTGAGGAAACGGCAGTCGACGTCGGACGTGACCGTCCTCGTCGCCCCGGACAACACGTGCGGCTACGTCTCAGGCCGTGCCGGCGCCGAGTACACCTGCGGCGGCAGCGCCACCTGTGCGTTGATGCCCCCCGTCAACTCGAACGTCCCCGGCCGGGTCGCCTGCTGCAACACCCAAAACTGCAACGCACCTCGCACGTGTTTCGACTACAAGGACATTTACACGTCGAGCCTCTGCGACAGTGGCTGCCGCGTGGACACGGACACCCGCAAGTGGTCGGTTCTTCCCCTCCCCCCTCTCCTTCCGCAGCCACGAGAGAAACAAAACCCCCTGAGAACTGACACTGAGCGCGCAGCACCGAAACGGGGCAGCCGTATTGCCGCACCGTCTCCTTTTCCGACGACATCTACGGCTACTGGTGCGCCTCGGAGGAGAACTCGACTCCCCAGGCCGTCTTGACCACGTACGCCGGCCAGCGGGCCCGGCAGTGGTCCGAGTTGGTCGTGACGCTCGGCGACACCACGTCGAGCAGAGCCACCAGGCCCACCGGCCCCACCGCCACCTCGGCGTCGGCCCGAGGGTCGTCGACCTCCCCCGCCCCCGTACCGGACCCGGAAGACGAGACGTCCTCCACCCCCATCGGCGCCATCGTGGGCGGCGTCGTCGGTGGCGTCGCCGTCATCGCCCTCGCTCTCTTCGGCATCTGGTTCTTCATCCGGAAGAAGAACCACAACGGCGGGCCTCAGGGCCAGCAGCAGCAGCAGCAGCCGCAGCAGCCGCAGGGCTCGCCGTCGCAGTACGCCGCCACCACCCACACGCAGTCTTTCCACGACCCCAAGTTCGGCGGGCCCAACGGCTACCCGCAGTCCTTTGGCGGCACGCCCCCTCCCCCGCCGCAGGACGGGTATCAGCATCAGCAGCCCTACTTCGCCGGCAACGCGGTGCCCGACCGCACCGACACGACGAGCCCCGGCGCCGTGTCCCAGATGACGTACAGCAACACCAACAACGACATGAACAACCGCTACAGCATGCAGGCCGCCAGCCCCCAAACAACGCAGGGAGGGTTCCAGCAGTTTGGCCAAGCGCCACCGGCCCAGCAGCAGCAGCAGCAGCAGCCGCCGCCGCCGACGATCCACGAGGCGCCGACAACCGTCGACGGCCACCGTGGACACATGCACGAGCTCGCCTGAAAGGCTTTTTGCGCCGCTCGCCCTTTATCTGACGATACGGATGGACGTTTGGGGGGGGGGGGGCTACATCCGTCTCTGTACATTATATTTCTTTTAGAGGTTTTTTGGGACTTGCAAAAACATCAAGAACAACAGGGAGGAATCACAAACGGTCCTGTAATGATTCTGGGTTAACGGGCGCCGGTGAAACGGGACGACGCAGCGCAGAGTCGGGACGGGAATTCTTTTCTTCCTTTCTGGGGGGGTTGGAAAATAAAAAGATTGTTTTTCCCCTTCCTTATTTTTTATTTTTTCTATAGACTTGGCGCTTCTTCATGGTATCTTTCACGCTTCCGACGACAGAACGCGTCTGTAGCTCCTCCCACCCCCCAAAGGAACATATACTTCAGTGTGTAGAATGAAACGGGGGGACTCGTACATGTTCAGTCTACCCGTGACTCTCTAAACAGAAAAACGAAAAAAGAAAAAAGAAAAAAAAAGTCCTGTTGAGTTCTTCGTCTTACTTGGCTAGCAGTCACGACAACAAACACACAGCAAGGCTCCAAACAGAATTGATACCAGATGGGGAAAAAAAAAGGAGGGTATATATTTCCAAGAATATATATAACAAGTAAAAAAAGGCTTGCTTGCTGTTCATGCGTACCCGAATGGTCCAAAAACCCGTCCGATTCCTTCTCCTTACAACACTTCCCACGCGGCGGGAGAACTCCGTCCTTACCCCCCTGCTAACCATATGCCCGACGAGCGATGCGATGCGCCCGGCCGTCAGTAGTCAATCAGCCGCAGCTTCTTGCCAATCTCCCTCCGGCGCGCCTGCACGGCCGCCCGCTCCGAGGGTTTCGTCTCCGCCGTGTCCATGTTCTCCCCGCGCGCCTTGAGCGCCTGGAGGAGCATGCCGGCGTCGAAGAAGCCATCTGTTTGTCGGGGGAGAGCTCGTCAGCACTTCTGCTCCAAGAAAGAATGTGTCCCATATGACAAGAGGGGAGGGGTGGCAGAAAAAAAAGAAACTTACATCCGCCGAGCTCGTCGTCCTCGCTGAGGGTGACGCTCTCATCCGTGGGCGACTGGGTGCCCGTAGACGACCGCGCCAGCGGGGGCTTGATGGTGTCCTGCGCCGTGATGAGGCGGCCGCGGGACTTGATGCCCCTGGGCGGCCGCGGGCGGGCCTGGTGGTCGAGCTCGCGCGCGCGGGTCTGCCGGACGCCGGTGCCGCGGCGCGACGTGATGCGCAGAATGCGCCGCACCTCGAGGAGGTAGCTCTCGAGGGTGTCGACGAAGCGCTTCGTCTGCCGGTGCTTGCTAGATACGCAGATGGAGATGCCATCGTCCTTGATGATGTACCCGATTCCGAAGCCGTCGCCCGACGTCGGGCCGAACCCGAAGTGCCGGAGCGACGGGTTGCCGCAGTTAGACGTCGACATGATGGTGTTGTTGAGCCTGTCCCACCCGGAGTCGGCGAAGATGTGCGGCATCGCCGACCCCTGGTTGTGAACGCCACCGCCGCGCGAGGTGGTGCTGTCGCCCCGCGCGCGGAACCCCGCCGTCGACTGCGCGTCGGCGCCGCCGCCGTTGAGTGAGAGCACCGAATCCTTTTCGGGGCTGCCGACGACAGACTCGCCTTGCTCCGAGTACCCGTCGACGGGGCTCGAGTAGCTGCCGTTGGAGCTGCTGAGGGTGTCGTCGTCCATGGAGCGCTGCCACGTGCAGAAGAGGGCGTAGAGGTGACGGTCGCAGCCCTCGGCGCGGGCGCACTCGCGCGTCGTGTTGACGTGGCGCTGGCACGCCTTGCGGAGGGCCTCGACCTTGTGCTCGGCCGGGTTATCGGCCCAGAAGGTCTGGACAAAGTTGACCGACTCCTCGGAGACGCTGCGGATGGCCTCGGTGCGGCCGTGCAGGAAGATCTTGGTCATGGCGGGCTCGTAGGTGCACTCGACGCGGCCGTAGAGGCCGTAGTATGCCGCCTGGAAGGCCATCTGTACAAAGGCGTCGGGGGAGAAGCCCATCGAGGTCATGAAGTTCTTGCCGTAGTGCTTGAAGTCGAGCGTCCTGAACTCGTTCTGCTCGATGAGGTCGGCCAGGCGGGTCTCGGCGAAGCGCACGGCGATGCTGAGCTCCGGGGTCATGTCCCACTCCAGCTTGTGCGGCGTCGGGTCGACCTCGCCGAAGCTGTCGGGGTCCCGCTTGGCCGGGTCGGGGCTGGTCGTGGCCCAAAGCGTCGGGGCCTGGCCGTTGATGGTCCTGGCGAAGCGCAGGATCGTGTCCGTGTACACGTCGCTGGCGAAGCGCAGTACCGTGTGGCCGTCGACGCCGGTGTGCTCAAAGTTGATGCCGGCGCTGCCGTTCTTGCACACAATTATCTGCAGCTTGTCGTACCACCGGTTGGTGCAGGTCCCGATCTGGACGCCCTTCTCGACCAGGCTGGTGCCGCAGAGCATGTTGCCGCAGAGCGCGTCGGCGTCGGCGGGCTCGGTGTAGTCCAGGCACAGGACGAACAGCGCCGAGTCGACGATGCCCAGGCAATCGGCGTTGTTGGACCCCTCCTCCCTGGTCAAGACGTCTCTCAGCCCCGACCAGATCTTGCGGTTCTCCGTGCTCAGGACACCGAGCGCCCCCTTGGCGGCCTCCTGAATCGGGGTCTGCGAGGCGTCGTCGACGATGGTCTGAAGGTTGACGGAAACGTCCTTCTCGCTCATGATGAGGTCGTTATTGTCGTCCAAGACGTCGAACCAGTAGAACTGCCCATGGCACATGACGATGATGTGCTTCGAGTCCGGGTCCTGCTCGATTTGGCACCCGTTTTCCGTGGGCACGCGTGCTGTGCCAAAAAGCCTCGAGTACTGGTACATGCAGAGGGGCTGGCCCTTGATGTTGTCGGGGGGCAGTTCCTCTTTGCGGACGGCTCTGACAAACTCGAGCGCCGACATGACGAGCGACGCCGCCCGGGTCACCTGGTTGTTCCTCGCGGGGGTAGGGTCATCTTCCAGCAGGAAAAAGGGGTTCAGGTTGAGAACGACGGGGTTATCAAAGTTCAGGTACGAATCGTACCCTGTACGACGGTTAGCCGGGGGTGTGGATGATGTGGGACGTGGTTGCACTCACAGAACTGCTCAATATAGCTGGTCTTGTCCTGGGCGTAAGCCTTCAGCTTCTCCTGCAGAAGAGGGCCATCGTGCCCCAGGAATTCCTGGACGGCTTGCTTGGTCTCGGCGTGTTCGCGTGCGGACTGCAGAGGCTTGAGGGCTCCGAGGTACTTTTGCGCGGTAACCTCTAAGTCGGGGATGGGCAGTTGCTTGAGCTTGTCCTGGCCAGCGAATGTGACACCGCCCTCGACGGACTTGTCCGTGTAGACCGCCATGGAGTGGGCGTCCTTGGTGCTCTGGATTGGCCTTTCTTGCTCGACCGGTCTCTGAAGATCGAGGGTGTCCGGGATGGATCGGGGGACAGAGGACGGAGGGACGGCCTTTTCGAGAGTCTCACCGAGGGGTCTGGGTCGCGAAAAGATGCGAACTTGAGTGGGCATGGTTGTTAGCGGACGAGCTATCTCTTTATGCGTAAAGAGGCGAGACGTTGGTGCCGACGTTCAATCCGCGCAGCGCCGTGCGGTAGAAGTAGTGGCAGTCTTGCAGGCAGTATGATGGCATTACACTAGACAACAGTACACAATCTGGACAGCGTGGGTAGAGATATAGAACGAGGAGAGTGGAGGGGGAGAAAAGAGAGGATCATTCGGCTACAGAACATGGGACGGACTAGGAATATATATATATATCAACGGACCTAAGGAAGGTCGGGTGAGAGGCCGGCGAGTCGAAGCTAGGGTGGTAGGCACTGGCTTACCGAGAGAGGTACCAGCCGGATGGAGTACTAGGTATGGTGGTGTATAGACAAGATGGGAAAGGCAAGAGACGGATGGGATGGAGTGGAACCCCCCCCCACGAAGACCAGACCGGGGCAACTGGGATGGGCTGACGTGCAGAGACCAGTTATCCCAGGATCCCGGGGGCTTGTCTCGAGGGACAGGAGCCCTTTCACATGTGGAACGGGTCTTGGACTTGTACCACCGGACCGGAAGCACGCGGTTGATTGGGCTGACGGAAAGACGGAAAACGGGGAGAGAATAGGGAATAGTTCAGGCCGGGGGAGAGGGGGGGGCAGCAGAGGGCAAGAGTGTTTGTGAAACTGGGTCCGCAAGACCGATGCGAGATGGCGATTTGAATGCAGGCCAGTTTCGCAATCTGCCGAAACTTTCTGGATAAAAAGGGTACGAGGACAGGGGGGAGAGGAGAATGGCAACGCAACGTACCAGACAGGTGGACTGGCTGGGTGGTGGGTGCAACCGCTGGCGATAGGATGTGATGTGAGGCGGACGGATGGGCTGGGCGTGATTGCGGCAATGATTATCACGGTAGCGCAAACTGACGGTTCAAACGCGGGAGCCGCTGCTGAAGAAGCGTGTGGCTGGAGATGGTCAGCCCGTCGGTTCAAGACACTTCTGCCTGCTTGTGCCGGTGAAGCCATATCATTTTTGGGGCTGACACAGCCAAGTCAGCAAGGACAAAGACACGCCATCACTCACCTGAGTAGGGTGTGGGCGCGGTCGGGACAGTCTGGTGGACTGTAAAAGACTAGGTAGGTAGGCACTGAGTCGAGCACAAGGTGAAGAGAAGTCGGGATGGGACGACGGAGATGCAGGACAAAGAAGACGTGCGGATTAAGTCCGGGATACGACTCGAGTCGGGATGGAAGGGGAGAGGAGGAAAGACAGCGACGGCGGGGAAGTAACGCTGTGATGCAATCGGTCGATGCAACGGGCGCTTCTGGAAATTCGACGTCACAGGTTCTCTTCTTCTCGGCAGGATTTGTGCAGGCTTGGGAGAGACTTGGGGTTCCCTTGGCTAAACCGGCGCAGCGCTGAGAACCCCACGGGGTCGTGGGAGGGAGGAATTGGCGGATGGGGACCACCACACCACACCACGGCCGAGGATTCTTAGCCTTTCGGGCGAAGGGGAATATCGCAGGAACGTGGCAATGGGCGGCTCTGGTTGGACGGACGGATCGACGGCCGGGGTTTGGCTTGGGCTTTAATGCGACCGGATGGAGGGACGACCAGGATGTGTGTGTTGTGCGGATGCGCTTGGCGGCTGACTTGCCTTTTCATTTTGGCTCGTGACAGTGCCGCTCGGGAGAAGGTGGAGAGAGGGAGAGAGGGAGAGAGGGAGAGAGAGAGAGAGAGAGAGAGAGACAAAAGAGGCTTTGTTAGCCGGCGGAACGGAGACGATGGAGACGAGAGTTGGTAAGAGATGGTCCGTCGAGGGTTCGAGAACCCCGCGTCGTACCAACGGGCCAACGACAGAAAGAAAGAAAGAAAGAAAGGAAGGAAGAGTCGAGAAACACAAATAGGCGGGGACTCGGTCCGGTGTCATTCCCACAGCTGCCGACACGGCTCGTAGTGTTCAAGTGAGTGCATCTGTTAAAGTACGTACTATGTATATATTGCCGCATAACCCCTACCTACTTGGGAGTTACTTACTTGTATTGTATGAGTCTCTCTTTCGTGTCTACTTTATAACGTTATTTTGCGTAATGTGTAGCTTTCGGGCTAAAATATACGTACTATTTATTTCATTTCCCCTCTTTAGGTAGTTGGTTAGTTATAGGTAGAGAAATAAATAAAGAGGCGAAATCTACTCCGTACCCTGGAAATGAAACACTGATATTTACCTACTCACTTTACCTACATATTTCGGCCAAGTAAATGGACCACGGGTGCCCACACTTCAACAGCCCAGGTTGCTCCTGCATCATTGCAGAATCCTCCCTTGACATACCTACATGATGGACTACCCCACGCATTTCAAGCATACTACGATGTATGTACAATGCATATCAAGAGACTGGGGTGGAGCACAGATTTGCACGATGGACAGTGGGCCATACGACTATTTATTAAAGGCGGGGAGGGGAGCGTTGCAATCCATCATGATTCCGACCCGGCACCCTGCGATGCCTTTTCCGCCGCTTCGAGCGCCTTGCTGAAAATCTGCGTCAACCGATCCGTCTCCTCCAGTCCGACGCTGATCCGCAGCAGGTTCGGGTCGACGCCCAGGCTGACTGCCCAATCCAGCTCTCCGTAATGAGCGAGCAGCACGTACGGCGACGTCAGCGTGAAATTCGTCCCGAGACTGGGTCCCTTTGGCGACTCCATGTTGTCGTAAAACACCATGGCATCCTCCTTGCGGTGGAACACGGCAGACATCAGCCCCCCGTAGCCTCCGGACGGCAACCTGCAGTCCTCGTAGTTCGCCCTGTCTGCGTTGTGTTTTGGATAATGCACCCTCTTCACGAGCGGGTGCGCCAGTAAGAGCTCGGCAACCGCCTCGGCGTTGGTGTTGATGCGGCTGATGCGTTTGGCAAAGTCGCGGCTGTTCCGCTCCATGAAGATGGCATCTTCGGGCCAGTACGTATCGCTATAATTCTGCTCTAACGTGGTCTTGAGGCTGGCGTAATAGCGACTCTTGGGGTTCAACACGGCCGACCCGCCCATGACGTTGCAGTCACCCGAAAAGATCTTGGTCAGGCTGCTGACCACGACATCGGCATACTGCAGGACGTCAATGTTACCAAACGTGCCAATCGTCTCGTCAACCACCAACGCAAAATCGTACTGGTCCGCCAGGGAGCGGATACGCTTGAGATTGGGGCACGTGAGCATGGGGTTCCCCGGAAACTCGCAAAACAGCGCCAGGAAGCGCTCGCCGGACTCGAGCCGCTGCTGCAGCTCGTCCAGCTCCTGTTCCGAGGCGCGGCCGTAGAAGACGCACCCGGGGCCGAATTTCTGGAGGATCTTGAGCGTGTCGACGTAAGGGAACCCGAAGCTGATGCTCTTCATGCTCCCCCTGGCGCTCAAAAGGAAGCGGTGGGTGTTGAAGATGGCGCTCATCCCCGTGGGGAACAGGTAGACGTCGTGCTCCGTGAGGCTGGCGATTCCCCGACCGCTGGGGTCCGCCTCCGGCAGGGGTCTGCTCGCGACATCGACATTATGACTCAGCGTGCCGGCGATGCGCCTTTTGATCGCCGCCTTGGCTCGGTCGACGAATGAAATGTCGAGGTTCCGGCCAAAGCGTTCCTCGACGAACCAATTAGACGCGGCCGAGCTAAGATTCGGACTGGTGTCGCCGCTGCCACCCGGCGTGTGAGATGCCGCCGCCGCCGCCGCCGTCCCCTCTGCGAGAACTGGTCGCTGGTAGCGCCGCGGGCCCTTGGTCTTCTGAGGGACCTGACATGTCGGCTTCCTTGACGGGTCATCGGGGCAAAGCAGGCCCTGGGCGAGGAGGCCGTGGCAGAACTCGGCCCTTCTGCTGGAGACGCCGTCGCCGCTGTGCTGCCAGAACTGCTTGGCGTACGGGAAAGCGTCGGGGTGGAACAGCACGCCCGAGACGGTCGGACTGATGAGCTTCAGCGAATCGGCCTCTGGGTTCGAGACGTCGAGGACCAGGTGAACGGTGTCGAGGCCGTCCAGGACCTGGGCCGGGGCGTGAGCGTGCAGGAAGTCAATGCACCGCTGGGCGATGGCCTTGTCGGGGAACAGCATGGCCCGCTGCCCGGGCGTGCGGGCGAACGTCGAGGCGACGACGCGCGCAAAGGCTTCTATGCTCTTGTGGATGAAGAATCTCGGGTAGCCAGTCGTCATTTTGTCGACGACCCAGCTCTCGCCCTCCTCATACCCTACATTGGACTTCCATGTGGGCAACGAAACGCTCACGGCCTTTTGGTGGGCAAGAGGTTGTCAAGGTCAGCAAGGTATATATATATATATAGCCACACAACATTCATTGGAAAAACGTACATGAGCCGTGTCGGGGGGGATGGATTCCCCGAGAGCCACTTGAGGCATGGTGATGATAACCTAGGTAAATAAATATTCGACAGCGTAGATGAGAGTTGCGTTGTCGCCCGTTTGGTCAAAAGTCGTCGCGAGGGGGTTGATTTAGGTCCGAAGATCGGATCGAATCGATGAGGAAATGAGGTGAGAACGAGCGATTGGTCAAAACCCTTACTTTGTGGATACTATAACTTGGTGAACGCCGACGACTTCTGTTTGGTCAGGGATGATGTGAATGAGTGGGTGTGGTGTGTCTGTGTTTTTCTTCTTCTTTTTTTTTCTCTTCCTTTTTACTATTTCCACTCGAGCGCTTCGTGCATTTCGATATGTAGTTATGGGATTTATGCAGCAACCGATGCCTCGTCCGCGAGCTCCGTCCACACCTTCCAACCCTTGTTCACTTTGGACTTGGCCAGCGGCCTATACACCTGTCCTTTCTCGTCCCTCTTCTCGTAGTCCCAAAGCGTCATCTCCACGAGCGTGAGGCCCCTAAGCGGTCCTGGCGGGCTTCCGAAGACGTGATGCACCTGCGGAGACAGACAAGTGACCATGATGCCCCGGAACCCCCTGGCCTTCATCTCCCTCATGACGAAGTGCGCGAGCGCCTTCATCAGCCCCTTGCCCTCGTGTCCCTCCAGCGTGGACGTGCCTTTGTCTAGCAGCACCTGTCCCGGGCCCGTCACCTCCGCCTCCAAGGTCGACGTGTCCCTCTCGTCCAGCATGTCGCTGGTGAGGCAGTACACGGGCGCAACCCGCCTCCTCAGCGCCCAGATGGCCGGATCGCCCTCGGCGCCGGCGTCGTACCACTGCGACAGCGAGACGATGGGGAAGTCCATTCCCTCGAGCAGCCTCCGCTTGGCCACTTGATCGTCGGCCAGCGCCGGGTCCTCGGCGTCCATCTCGTCCCAGTACAGGCCGCCCCCCGCAGCCTCTGACTCGGGCCGCTTGAAGACGTACTCTTTGTCGACGAGCATGTACGACAGACCGTTGGACGGCGGCATGTCCTTGTGGCGGTTCGACTCCCTCAGAGACCGGTAGGCCGTCAGCGTCGCCTTTCCCAGCTCTCCAGAGTGGACGCCGCTCAGGACCTCTGAACCGCATATCTGTGTGTACCAATTGAGCGCCAAGACCCAGTCGGCGACGGCCGGTGAGATCTGCCGTATTTCGTACCGGGACGGCAGCACGATGCCTCGTGTGTCCGCGACGGGGTTTCCGAGGGCCATGTTCTGGTTTTTTTTTTCTTCTTCTCTCTTTTCTGGTTGGTTGGTTGTCGATTGCCACCCCGAAGAGGGGAGAAGAAAAAAAGGAAAGGAAAAAAAAGAGAGAGAGGGAGGAGGAGAGAAGGCAAGACGCGGATTGCGTGCGCACATCTCCTCTCAAAGCATGGCACAGCATCTAGTCCCCCCTCCAATGTAGACAAGCCCAAGCCAAGCCGGGAGAGGAAGCTGTCCGAATAGCGCCAAGATGCGACGCTACTATCAGATGATAATGCCCCTCGCACATGACACATAGGCTTTCATCAGCCTTACTGGGGGCAGCACAGTCAGACGCGTATATCAACGTAGTATGCATAGCAAGGCGGGGGTTAAGCCAGTCAGACGGAAGTAAGCTAGACACAGACGTGGGGATCAGCCGCCCAGAGCTGCGAGGGCGGCCGGGCGGTTTAATGCAAGATGTAGATGACCAATTTGTCTTAATCATTCAGCTTATACTAGGTATGTACAAAGAGCCCCCCATAGCCTTCCGTTCGGTCCCCACCAGAGAGACCCATGCTTATGCCTACGAATACATATGTTTTCCCCGTGGTCCTTCCTACTCGCCGTTGTACGAAGCCGCCATGCACCTAGCCGCTGGCGCAGCAACCAATCGATCACGGCACTTCGTGGTACTGATGGAATGCGAGCACGCCGCGGGGGAGGGGCCTGCTGGGGCAGCATAACGTCATGACGGTTGCGAACACCGTGTACGGATGCTGCTGCTGCTGCTGCTGCTCTCCGGGCGCCGCGACGTCCGTGGCGAGGCTCGTGATCAAGGCCCAAAGGTGAGGAAACTTGTTCTGCAAAACCACGAGGGCCTTGGGCACAAGGTCCATCGTCAACTCCTCGCCCGCGACGACGTCTGCGAGCTGCAAGTGCACGTCGACCCCCGCCTGCTTGAACTCCTCCACGTAGATGTCTTCGGCGCTCCGCAGCGTCTCTTCCGTGTACCCGGCCTGCCCCAGCTTGTTCCAGCCCTTGGAATGCCTCCTGATCTCGGAGAGAAGGCTGGGCAGCCGCCGGCTGCGGCTCAGACACTGCTCGTTGAATAGCGTCGGCGACTTGCTCAGGTCGGCCGTGTAGTACGACGACAGGGCCGCGTCGAGGCTGCTGAAACCCAGCGCTCCCGCATACTGCCGCAGGCAGTTCAGCCTCTCGATCAACGGCGCGTCGCTGCCCGGGAGCCCGGGCGGCAAAGATGCGTAGGCCGAACCGGGTCTGTTAATATCGCCAAAGTCCCCGACGACTCTGTCGTCGCCGTCGCTGGTGCCGCCGGGGAACGGAAAATAATCGAGATCAGGCATGGAGAGATTGCCGTCCTGCGCGGGAGACAGTCCCCCCTTGGCGAGAGCGGCGAGGTCGAACCCGTTGTCCGAGCCCGTCTCCGGACCTGCTACTAGAGCAGGGGCCCGCCAGTCTGGATACGTCGGTGCGGGCTCTTCTCGAGCGTCTGTCGGTCCCGTGATGCTCGTGCTCTGGCCGGGGCTGTCTGCTTGTGGGCGATCGTGAAGTATCTCGTTCAAGACACGCCACATGGTCTCGATGTGTTGGGACACGGGCGGCGTGAGGCTCTCCAGCGCCCCGGCGGGGCCGAAAGAAATGCTGGATGGGCAGGAAGCCGGCAACACCATGGACTGTGCTCCCGGCGTCAGGGGCACGCTCATTGAAAATCTCCTCTTGCGTCCCTGTTCCTCGGCCAGCTTCCTGCTTTCCTTCTCCTCGGCCAGATCTTCAAGCTCTCGGAGGCGCCGCTTGAGCTTCTCACCTGCCCTCGACCGTCAGTAAACATGGCTGGCGCCACCGCGGATTCCGAGCGGGAACCGCCAGGCAGACATACGATGGACACGCTGCGCGATGCGGTTCTGGATCTTCTTCTTCTCTTTCGGGTCGGTCACATTGGTCCAGTCATTCTCGTCGGCAACGGAGGATGCACTGTTTCGGTCCATGGTCTAGGGGTCTAGGTCTGGGCTCAGGGTTCGGGGCGAAGTCAGCAAGGAAAAAAGGACGGACGGGATGGGCGTGTTGGGATCAAAGGAAGGCTGATTTGGCAATGAAGAAGAACGGCATAGATCTAGTCAACCTCGAACATGAAGGCTGAGATGTTGCCACTGGCCATCCAAGACATTTTCACATTAGCAGGTCGCGCGATCTTGGACATATCCAGCAGCCTCTTGACTAGGCATAGGAACCCCGAGTCGCATCGTCGGGCAAACTGATGCATCATTGCACCATGTAGCATGTCTGTACGCGCCTACTGCAGCCACGCGAAGATGTCAACAACCACTGACACGCTGTGGTGTTGCGGGGTCGTATGCAAGTCGTCGAGTTATCCACACCGGGCCCCTTACCATATCCGTACAAAGTATGTATGTACTTCGCATATGTTATACTGGACCCCCATATGCAACCCCCTTATGGCCTAGAACCACCAAACATCTTCTATCCGCCTCCAATACTACCTACCCAAAGCCGGAATCTAGGTGGCATGGCCACTAGTGGCGTTTATCATGGCCTGGCACCTATCTCGCGTAGTTGATAGCTGTCGCAGGCTTGATTTAATCTAGCAGAGAGGGTCTCATGCCGCTTCAACCCACCTATCGAGTGCCTGCCAGGGCGGCCGCTAGGTGGGTCCATGAGAGATCTAGAGATGGTCTTTTGATCAGCGCTCGCTGGCTGGCAAGTCTCTGCTAGGACAAGGTTTGCCAAGTGTATGATATATCAACTAACCTGGCATGTCGTGCTCGACGTCAGCCTAATACCATATCACTGCCCGGTGGTACTGTGGGTAGCATCTGGTCAGCACTAAAGTCCGAACACAAGGCTGGCTCCTCTCAAGGTGCTCTGATCAGCGTAAACGATATTGTGTCATGAGTGCCACGACAACGGTGGGTGGTCAGCCCAAGGTGATCTCTTCTTGAGTTCGCACAGGTGCAGGATGATGTCTAAGACAGGTGGAAGAACATAGCATAAGTATGCCCAACACTCAACAAGCTGGTCGGCTTGAACGACATTTCCTGATGGCATTGTGTCACGGACGACGGGTCCGATTGGCCCAGCAAGGGTGCAGCTCAAACGGCCTCCGACTTACTCCGATTGGGTTCCGTTGGCCGCGAAGCCTGAAGGGGCTGCTCCGCCGAGTGCCAGACTCCCCATCATATCATGGGGGAATAATGGATGGCCGAACATGGGGTTTCCGCCTCGCGAGGAGAACAAACAAAACCGTTTCCTGATACGGAAGGTCAAAGTACGCAGACCCACAAGGGTTGTCACGTTGCAAGGGACGCCGCAGGGACGCCAGGTAACGCCAAAAGGTGATTCCACGCGGAATCGCTTCCCCGGGTAAGGATCCGCCCATCAGTTGCGGTGACCGTCAAACACCCATCGTGCTTTCGTTTCTACTAGATAATTGGAGCGGCGGCCCGTACCGTATCTTGTCTCTTAGCTTCCGGCCGCCACATAAGACTTAAAAAGCCAGATCAGCTGAGTGGGTTTTCGACTGCTCGCCTTCTCTCGAGTGTCCGTTCGTCTCGAGGAACTTTCGGGATAATATAATCATTGCACACAGTCATGGCCTCACAGAATCCACCTCCCGCGGATGCGACGCAGGATGAAAAGAGCACCGCCCAAGAGCCCTTGCCGCAAGCCGTCTCCTTGTCCGAGGGCGAGGATGGCCAGTCTCCCAACGACGAGGAGCTGGCGACCTTGAGGCGTGTGGCCGATCGGGTCTCCATTGCCATCTACCTCGTCGGGGCCGCCGAGGTCGCTGAGAGGTTTGCTTTCCGCTGCTTGACTGGGCCTCTGCGTGAGTAGCTGTTTTCCCCTTCCGACTGCAAACACATCCTGCAGCAACCACCTCGCTTGAACCAAACTTGGACTAGTGCTTACTTTTAATGTCTGGGGGAAAAAGAAAACTATGTTGAACACCCCTTCACTGATGGTCGCCACAGAGGGACCGACTTCCGCCCTGGAGCCCTGGGCAAGGTAAGAGAGTGAGAGAGAGAGAGAGAGAGAGAGAGAGAGAGAAAACACCCCCAACCCCACGCCCACGAACTGGGCCAACATGATATACCCATCTTTTATGGGGCCTTGAGGACACTTACTCACTTGAGACGTGTACAGGGCCAAGCAATCGCGACAGGCATAGGCTTCATCTTTGAGTTCTGGTGCTTCCTTACTCCCTTGTTTGGCGCCATCATTGCCGACAGCTGGCTGGGCAGATTCAAGACAATATGCCTCGGTGCCATGTATGTGAACACACACCCCTATTCGAATTCTTTACCCTTGTTCTCCAACAGCGCACAACGCGGAATGCCTAATAATGCTTTTCTCAGAATATCGACTTTCGGCTTCATCATCCTCTTTGCAACATCTCTACCGGTTGCCTTGAAGGCGGGCGCTGGCCTTCCAGGCTTACTGGTGGCCCTGTTTGTCATAGGTTTAGGGTAATCGCCCCCCTCAGTCTTGGTGTGTGCCGATACATACTATCAAAACAATTATTGATCATTGGTAACAGCACCGGTGGTATCAAGAGCAATGTGGGGCCTTTAATCGCGGACCAGTACTCTGGCAAGTCACGAAGAATCAAGACCCTCAAGGGTGGTGAACGGGTCATTCTCGACCCCGACGTCACGATTCAGAACATCTTCAGCACATATTACTGGCAAGCAAGCACCAGAAACTGGATGGCTTGTGGTCTCGTGGCTAATGAGAGACAGGCTCATCAACATCGGATCCAGTTCCATGCTATTGGCAACGGTAAGGCGTGTTCATGTAAGCGATACAGTTCGGTCTCGCTGAAACTTTCTGCAGTGGATCGAATATGAAGTCGGGTTCTGGGCGACTTTCCTCATGGCCCTAGGCTTTTACGTTGCCGCCCTCGGCGTGCTCGTTGCCGGCCGAAACACATACGGTCAGCCCTCACGACGTGCCCTCGATTGGATGCGAGAGCAAAAACTAAACGCTTTGTAGTCATGGTTCCGCCCCGAGGGTCCGATATACCCAGGGCATTCAAGGCCGTCTGGGTTGGCATGAAGCACTGGGACATGGACAAGGCGAAGCCGTCTTACCTTGCCCAGCACGGCAACGCCAGCGTGCCGTGGAACGATCATTTCATCGAGGAAATCAAAGTAGCCCTAGTGGCGTGTCGTGTGTTGTGAGTCTGTCTGCTGCGAGCCGCGAGCCGGTCCAGAACTAATGGTTTCCCCTTCCTCATCTAGCGCATTCCTGTAAGACTTCCAACATCAAAAACTACCACTTGCGAATGATTCGAGTCTCACAATCCATTTAGTCCGATATTCTGGGTCTGCATAGGCCAAACAAGCGGCAATACCATCAGTTTGGCAGCCAGGACAAACACTTATGGGCTGCCCAACGACTTCAGTACGTTTTCAGAGCGGATATCGGGCCTAGCGGTATGAGAAGAGGTCTAACATGAATCCTAGTGGGCGGCTTCAACCCCGTGACGATTCTCATCCTGATTCCATTGCTGTGAGTGCACCACGCCCTTCCGGCCCCAAGGCCAAAGCCGTAGCGAACAGAGGTTTTGACACTATGCAGCGACTATGTCATCTACCCGACCCTACGCAAGTTCGGCATCGCCTTTCGACCAGTCACGCGCATCTCCTTTGGTTTTGCCGCCTTGGCCGGAGCAGTTGCCTTTGCAGCGGGGACCCAACACAGTAAGCCGAACACATAACGTCCTCGAAGCCGTTAAAAGAAAAAGAAAAGAAGAGAGTGTGCTGACGGATCCCGCTACACAGTGGTCATGAGGCAGCCCGAGTACCAGGTGTCCGTCCTGTGGATCCTGCCGATCTTCATCCTGTCCGCCCTGTCCGAGATCTTTGCGCTCGTGTCGGCGGTCGAGTTCGCCTACACAAAGGCCCCCAGCACGATGAAGAGCTTCATATCGGCCCTGAACCTGCTGACCGGCTCCATCGGCGCGCTCCTCGGCTTCGCGCTGTCGCCGACATCGACGTACACCAAGGTCTTTTACCAGTTCGTCGTCCTCGCCGGCATCATGGGCTTCCTGACCCCCGTCTTCTACCTCCTTTTCAGGAAATACAACGACGACGAGGAGCGCATGAACCAGCTGGAACGCCGGGCGAGGGAGGAACCAGAGTCTCCGCCCACGGTCTGAGCCTCGCTTGGTGACATCCCAGAGAGATATTATCCGGCGATTTGTACGTAACGCGGAGACCGAGCTCCCCCGTAGTTGAGCGATCAATCGTACGGGTCATACCGCTAGCTTGGTAGTTAGGGGGAGTTGGGTCAAGTTAAAAAAGCTAGAGTTGGGAACCGGGCTGTAATATGCAACCTCGGTTAAGTTGGTATAATGGAGTACTCTTGAACAGGAATGTGACTAGGTGCTGTCTTTGATGCGTCGTACCGTGGAAGCCTTTAGCTTTAGCCACGGCATTTGTCACGCGACTCTACGTGATTTACAAACTCTAGGCTCCTAGCTCCATTGCCCGAGTCGTCTTGTTTGATTTCACCACTTATCTGAGCAGTTGAGCAGTCTGAACAGAAGTTGGGAGATGGGCAAAAAAAGATCAGTACGCAAGGGGTCAACAGCTGGGAGAGACTCGGACAATCCATGCAGTCATGGAGGTCTCTCGTGCTTGCAAGCTAGGTAACGCTCGATGGTATTGTTTGTTTCTCATTATCAAATACATAGCTGGCCTCTTGTCCAGCAACTAGAGTAGGGGAAGTGGCTACTTTTCTCCCTTTGTTTCTAGTTCACTTCAGGTCCTCAGGCTGGCCACAGAGTAAGTTTACCCTAAATGCTACGCTCAGAGGTGCCTCGGGTGCCTTGGGCCCCCTAAACCGGTGGTGGCGTGATCTTGTTTCCCTCGAAAGGATCAACCTCTTCTGTGAAAATGTACTTGCCATCGGAATCGAGAGGGTAGGATTTGCCTGTCAACACAGAAGGGTAAAGCGTCAATATACCAGGTCCCAGTCTCGTCTCAATGGTATGCACAGGGGATAGGGCTTGTAAACACGTACCGAGGAAGGGGTGCACCAGAGAGGTGTTGTCGTACATGTCGAAACTGTGGTCTCGCGCCCAGTTGTTGACAAGGTCCCAGTTGTAGCAGCTGTGCTCGGTGTGGAAGTTGGTGAGAGGCCTCCGGTTGTTATCCACCCAGTCGTAGGAGCCGAGCGAGATGTCCGCCTTGCACATGAGCGTCATGCGAATGTCTCGAAACCGGCCAACGTCAGCATTCATCGCCCATGTAGAGGAAATCAAAGTAACTGAGGTTAGGCATGTCCTTACTGTCGATGCAGTGGTCAATGTGTCCCTCCAGATGCCGCGGCGGCTTCTTCCCTTTGAAATAGTACTCGGGAAACACCGCCTGCCGTACCATTTTCAGACAATGTAGCTGATGGTGGACGTTGAGGCCGCTCCAGTAGTACTCGGTCAACTCGCCGGACTCGTCGTGCAGCCGGACGGACGTGCGGTTTATCCGTCTGAGGTCCTCGGCCTTGACCTTGACGTTGCTGTACTGTATGAGCGTGTTCCAGGCGGCGTCGAGCTCCGGCCGCGGGTGTCCGCGAAAGACGTTATCGTCCTGGATCTCGTTGCCGAAAAGGACCTTTTCCGGCCTGAGCGCCTCGCGAGCCGGCGCTGGGGGGCAAGCCGTCAGCAAAACGTGGTTAGAAATCCCGGGGGGGGGCAGCTTACACCACACCATGGTCTGGTCGTCCGCGCATGCGTGCTCCTGGCCCTGCCGGGCGAGCACAAGAGTGAAGAACAAGGCCGAGTAGAAGGTAAGGAACAGTACGTGAAGCCAAAGGAAAGGCCCTCCGAGGCCATGGAGAAAACCGCCGGCTCTCGGCCTCGTCGGCCTTGATCCCTTCTCGGCGAGGAGTTGATCCTCGGACCCAGCTTCGGAGTCGTTCTCTTCATTCATGATCTCGTAGCGTGGCTCGCGAAACGACAGATTAAGATGCCACTTGAGGAGGTTCATGGCTTGGGGGTGCCGCAATGTGTTGTTGTTGTTATTGTAAGTCGTTTGATCAAAGCCGCCGCCAACTCATTTTGGACTGGACACTTGCGGGAGCAGCAATGTCCGGATTGATGTCGAACAGAAAGCGATTGAAGACGTGCCGGACCAACTTCTAGACAACAGCACTTATTACTCTTCAGTATTCTGAGTCAACTCTTACTGTTTGTAGTTGCAGCTAGCTGACTAAGGGTGCCTTACAGATCTGCAGCTGTCATCTTATTAGTTACCTTGTCAGAAAATCACATAGTCTGACGAAGCCTGACTGGGTGCATGAAGCGAGACCTGACTAGGTGCATGAAGCGGGTCTCCAATGCTTTAGTCTCCGACCTGTCAGTCGCCACCCGTCGTGAGGAGCCTCGGCGTTCCAACCTCAAACTCCGGACACCCTTCGGCAGTCTCAAGCGGGATATGCATTTGTGGTCTCCGTTCGTTCGTCGGGGTGGTGGTACAGCCTGAGTAAGAAATCACGTCTCCGTGTCGTTTTTCTCTATGACTGTGCTACGCATAGACGCGAGATTCAAGCCAGTGAAGGCTGGTAAGCTTGAGGTTGTATTGGGAAAATCACGCATGGGATATCTAATGGCGATTTGGAGTTGAGATGATCTGTTCATGTCTTTAAATGATCCCGTTTTCGTCGACCACTCCAGTCTGGATTTCCTGGACAGCATCCTCATCTCAACTCACTCACACAAACATTAAGCATCTATCCACGCTTCCTAGGCTTGAAACCATTATTACAAAGAAATTCACTTTTTCAAAATGAAGTTCTCCAGCCTCCTTCTCATTGCCCCCATTGCTGCCCTCGCAGCCCCCACTCTCTGTAAGCCCCGGGTCCCTTGCCGGTACTGTACGATGGAACTTGGAGCATTGTTTTTTCTAACCGTTCATAAAGCCGGTAGAGATGTAGCGCTGTCTCAAGACGAGGCCAAGGCCTACAAGCGCAGCCAGGACGATGCGAAGGCCTACCGCGACCTCTCCCAGGATAACGCAAAGGCCTACCGTGATCTCTCCGCAGATGACGCGAAGGCTTACAAGCGCAGCCAGGATGATGCCAAAGCCTACAAGCGCAGCCAGGATGATGCGAAGGCCTACCGCGACCTCTCCGCAGACGACGCAAAGGCTTACAAGCGCAGCCAGGATGATGCCAAAGCCTACAAGCGCAGCCAGGATGATGCGAAGGCCTACCGCGACCTCTCCGCAGACGACGCAAAGGCTTACAAGCGCGGCCAAGATGATGCCAAAGCCTACAAGCGCAGCCAGGATGACGCCAAGGCCTACCGTGATCTCTCCGCAGATGACGCGAAGGCTTACAAGCGCGGTCAGGACGATGCCAAAGCCTACAAGCGCAGCCAGGACGACGCAAAGGCCTACAAGCGCAGCCAAGATGATGCCAAGGCCTACCGCGACCTCTCCGCAGACGACGCAAAGGCTTACAAGCGCAGCCAGGACGACGCAAAGGCCTACAAGCGCAGCCAAGATGATGCTAAGGCCTACCGTGATCTCTCCGCGGATGATGCGAAGGCCTACAAGCGCAGCCAGGACGATGCTAAGGCCTATCGCGACCTTTCTCAGGACAACGCAAAGGCGTACCGCGACCTTTCCCAAGACAATGCCAAGGCTTACAAGCGCAGCCAGGACGACGCCAAGGCATACTAGACTGTCTGTGACAGTATCACACAAGGGGAAGAAAGGGCTAGCTTTACTCAGTACAGCCCGAAGACGCGGAAGCATTACATCAAATGGCCTCATAGGTCTTGGGGGCGGTATTTCAGACCTATCAAACTAGGCGTGTCATGGAGGAAGTCGTGTGTAGCAGGCATGACAAGCTGTAGATAGAGGGTACCCATTGTCTCTATCAATAAATGTCTGAACTCTAACTGAGCCCTATCATCTCCTTCGTTTCTTGAAGGGGAGACCAGAAGAGTCGCTCGCAAGGATCGGAGCTACTAGTTCTGGCAGAGTTGCCCCGCGCTGATGGAGTGGATCCGGCCCTCGGCTATGACGGGTCGGCCCGCGTCCCGTTGATCCTCCGACAACGTTGTTGTTGTTGAGGATGCCCTGTCTAGGCTTGTAGCCCTTAATCTTGCGCTTAAGGGCGTGCTCGCGCGCCTGCATAATCTCACAGCTCGAGTTGATGCTGGTGGTGAGACGGCGCATCTGCTCCTTGACATGATTCAAGCGGGTGGTGGCGGTGGCGACGGCGCGGTGAGCGGTCTGAATCTCGGCAAGCTCCACGGAGCTGAGCTCCTGTTGGCCGCCAATAAGCTCTTGTTAGGCCAGCTCAATCTTGGCGACGGCGACGAGCAGTGGGATGGCGTACGAGAGGTTGGTGGAGACCCACATGGCGTTCTCCGCCACTGCAACGTCCGTCTTCCATATCTTGTTCATAGCGCGGGCGCGGCGCTCATATCGTTTGCGGTTGGCTTCGGTGTTGCGTATTGGCTTACGATTGAGTGCGAAGTCAAATTCGGGCATGCGAGCCCCCTTCTCCCACACGTTGAATTGCCGAAGTTCTTGCGGGGTCATCGAGGCACGGGCGAGCTCGACGGGATCGCGAGTGGTGTAGGCGCTGCCACGGTAATAGCCCGTGCGGACGGCGACGCTCTTGCCAGCCACAACCAAGGCGGCGAGGGCGGCCAACTTATTGGCTATGGTGGCTAGGTCATCGTTCTCCTCAGGCATCGGGAGCTCTGGCAGATTGTCGACGGGGCTAAAGTCGACGGCGCGCTCAGCGCCTCCAAAGATGTCATCGAAGTGAGGGATTTCGGCGGCCATGTTGTGTGGAGGAGCACCATGTATATGGTGGTATTGGTGATCTGTAGCTAGAAGAAAAGACTTCTTGCTGGCTGGCAAGGTGAAGAAGCTGGTGAAGCTGGTGCTAAAAGTGGTCACGTGAGTGTCGACAACACAACAGAATGCAGGCACCCGGTCCTTCTCCGCCGAACTCTGGGTTTGAACGAAAATCGCCGACAGTGACATCTTGCGTCTTTCCCGCACGACATTCAAGAACCAGAGACCTGGCTCGTACGGATCTCCGAGGACCTCACCTGACTTATGAGGGCCAACCCTTCTTCCACCCCTTTAGAAGTCTGTCGCGGCACATCATGTCCACGACAGTCAATAAGAGTGAGGTTTCATGACGCGCAAAGCTATTATTCAAAACTAATATTACCTTGACCTTGAACAAGACGATCCAAACCGAGAAACAGCGAGTTACAAGAGAAAGCAAACCAAACACACTTGGAAAGACCGATAAAAGCGAAAAGATCCAAAGAACCAAAAGCAGAACAAAAGAACAAACAAAAATAGAAAGACCTCCTCGGAATATCCGTCACCCACACCGTTGGCGACCCCTCCTCTGCATGTCCTTGTGCTGCTCGTCGATGTGGCGCTTCAGGTTGTCGTCCCGCGCGATCCATTCGCGGCACACCGGACAGGGACCTCCTTCGGGCGGAATGCCGTTGGTCGAGTCTGCGGCGAACAAGGGGTGCGCGTTGCGGACGTGACGGTACATATCCTTGTTCTCGTAGAACATCATCTCGCAGGGGGGCATACCGAGGAATGTCGGGGCGTTCCTGGCCTTGCACGGGATCGAGGGCGGCAGGTGGTTCTTTTTGGCGTGCTTTCTGTAAGAGCCGTTAGCAGAACATCCGGTCCGCCCGCAACAGGGGCCGTGAAGCGCTCGCTCGCTCTGGTGGTTGAATCTCACCTCAACTCGGTAAGCCGCGGGAACCATCTCCCGCAGCCCTCCCAGTCGCACTGGACCGGCTGCTTGGGGGGCGACCCCTTGGCGGACGCCTTCTTTGTGGACGGACTGGACTTGTGCTTTTGCTTCGTGGCGCGGGAGGACCCGGCAACCGGGGTGGGTTCTTCGTATTCCTGGGCATCAGAATAATGAGAGGACGACGAGGCGGGCTCGTCCTGTTGGCCAGGGAGCGAGTGGTATTCCGTGTGCATATAGTCACTGATATCACAGTCGGCACCCTGCTGCAAATCCATATACGGCGATTCGTCTGGCGGTTGGCCGGCCGTCTATAGACCTGGCCCGTAACCAAAGGACTGGCTTGTCGTCGCGCTGGTTGCCTGATGCAGCGCCGCCCACTCGTCGAGAGCTGGGTTCGGCTCCACCGCCCATGCCTGGCCGTCTGGCTGGTGATTCCAGTCGGCCTCCTCGTCTTCCTCGCGAGACCACAGGGCCGGGTCTTCAGCTCCCGGCCTGAAGGCGTGCCGGTAGTCACGCTCGCGCTCTTTACCCTTGCGACTCATCCTTTTGCTCGCAGGGGCAGGTTGGCAGCTATTGTCTCGCTTGTATCAACGGCCAATCTTTGATGTTTGGCCCTTTGCACTCACCGTCGCGGTTCGCCCTTGTCTGAACGGGCAGGTCGGTTGTGATGGCAACCGATCCTCGGGGACTACCCGGGTGTGGCTACGAGTCCAATTCAAAAGAATACGGAAAAGGGGTTGAGTTGAAATGAGCACAGCCAAGTAATGGCGAAACAGAGTTGGTCAAGGAAGAATCGAGACTTGATAGATACAAGGCCATGTCTTGGTGATGGAAACTCCAGAAGCCGTGGAGGAAGCAGACTTAAATATTTCTAAGGGACCCGGGGGCCTCATTCTATCAGAATGTCAAGCGGGGTCAGGAATGGTGCGCCCGTTTGCCTGGCTCGCTGCAAGTGGCCTCACACCCACCCTTTCTGCTGGCCGTGAACCAACGACGACCTCAACCCCGCTCATGGCACGCTTCCTGTCGTTGTGTTTCCTTCGAATCAAGACACAAGCCTTCGCCCGTGGAATTCACTCGTGCGCCTCGCGAGCCGGCACTGCTAGTAAGACGGACTCGTGTAGCAAAGTGCCTTACCAGCCGAGACTGGCAGCTCAACAGGGATCCTCAATCAGGCTTTGAAGGCATCCGGCCCGAATATGGAGTGCACGCCGTCGTCGGTCACCCCCCACGCGCCTACAGGCTGGTCTTGGTGGGTAACGCGCAAGGGAAGACGTGCTGGCTGTTGACAAGAGGCCACAGGGGGGGGTGCCACTGCCGTGACCCGTCTTCGCGTGAGCCAATCCGGAGGCCGGATCCCTCCCAAATCACGGTTGTTGGTCGTGTCTTGCGCAGTCTGCCAAGGGTGGCTTGCGGGATGCAGGACCGGGAAGACGGGGCTGCGGGAGGCCGGACAGGAAGTTCCCTACAAGTCCGTGATATTCCACGCTTCGTCCCCAAAACAAAAAAAACCAGTTGGGTATATCTGCGTGGAACCTGCGAGAGCGTCTTGAGAGATGCATCGTTGCGTACGTTTTTACACTTTGTCTGGGTTCCGACCAGGCTCTGCGCAAGTTTGACCCCGTGCGGCGGCGCGTAGCTTATGTTGGGGTCTGCATGGATGAGACTGTTGGTCGCCCGTCATGAAACCAACAACCGCGACGTCCTTCGAGTCTGCCCAAGACAGGCAGAAATGCCCAAGTCGGCTGTGCTGATGGCTTGAAGATATGGAATTGGTAATAAAATGTCTGAGATGTTGTCTATAAAAGGCTCCAAGAATGTGCGATTCCGAGTCAGCAACCATTGAGATAATACCAGACTTCATTCCATTCAAACTTATTCTTTCACCTTGTCCAACATCTGCTCATCATATCCAACATAACTGCCGAGTCGTCCTCAATATGGCTTACACAAATGAAAAAGACCGCCAGCTGTTCTATCTCTCTTCTCTGTTTGGTGCCGTGAACGAAAGCTGTAAAAAGATGAATAACGTCACCTACTCGTCCGGCGACTCCCGTGGCGACCGTATCCTCTCCCCTTTCAGGTCCTTCCTGTGCAAGCTTGCTCAGGTCTGCGACGCGGAGAAGGGAGGGGATACCGTTACTGCCCTTGTCGCCCTGAGGGCGGCCAACGGGCCAGGATACCTCTTCGCGTCTAACAATCGCAAGGAGCAGGAGCTCGAGAGCACGCGGAAGTTCCTCAGCGACTTGCTCAACTTTGTCGGCAGACATCCCGAAAGCCTCACTGAGAAGACATTGAAGAAGCAAGTACTTGGACGCATTCTGGAGTTCAACTTCTCCAGGGTCGGCTTTTATCTCAAGCAGATTCTTGCTTTCGTTGGTACCTGTATCGCGAGTAGTCATTCTTTGGCAACTTATGGCGGCAAGTGCATTCAAATGACCCAGAGCTGACATGGAACTAACATCGATTGAAGGACCCCAACTAGTTGCACGGTTGAGGCTGATCGAGGCCAATGCCACTTTTCCACACGACATGCCGTCTGATACGAGCGCGAGGTCGAGGTGTAAGTTAGCCACTCAGTTACAAGCGCAGAGAAGGGCGGGAACCGACACAAACACGTGCTGACGAAAAAGAGCATAAAGTTCTCAAAGACTGTGTGAATCTTCTTAAAACCATCCAAGGCGCAATGGCGCCAGGCTCAGGGTTCAGTCTGGCCATGAACGAGGGTGCCGGTGCCGACGATCCAGACACCTCGTATGCTTGGTGCCAGTTCCGCCACCACCTTGGCCGGCTGTACTCGTACCGTCAAGCAGCCGACAGCATCGTCGATGCCTGCAAAGAGTGGCCAGAACTCTTCACCGGCTTCACCGTTACGCATATCCCCTCCAGCCGCCCTAAACGACTCTTGCTGCCGGGAGAGTCGCTTTCGCTCGAGGGCGTGATCCTGGCAGCCTTCCCGGACAGAAATTTTAAGGCGTACACCAGCCAAATTGAGCAGCTCCGCGACTACGGTCTGGACGATCATATTCGAGAGAAACTGGAGCAGAAGCCGGTGAAGCAAACCGTCCACTGCGAGGTGCACCTTCAGGACTTCCTCGTCCGGGAGAAGGTGGTAAAACCACATGAATACTGGGACGATGACATGTTCATTGCCACCAGCAAGCCTCCGTGCCGACTCTGTCAGTACTACTTTGATAACTTGGAAAACGGCGCCGTAGTTCAGTCAGCCCACATGAACGTCTATCCCAAGTGGCGGCTTCCAGACGTGTATGAGGGGCAGGACAGGAGCGCCGTCCAGCGCCGGGAGGAGTTGCTGAAAGACATCATTGAGAAGATGCAGCAGGACACCATACGCGTCGTCAAGGAGCATCAACCCGAGTGGAAGCGCAACGATTCCCGCACCGAGTCGTGGGTTTGGGGATCGAGGCAAGGGGAACGCAGTGACACGCGAACCTCTGGTCGTTTTTCCAGCGCAAGCGGGACTCGCGGGCAGGGCATGGGCGTCGAGGGGCGGGGTTTCCTGTTCCAGATGCCTGTTGAGGTCGAGGACGAGTACGTTTGCGTCGGATCCGCCTCCTGATGAGGAGAGGAGCAGAGTAACGGCAGCCAGTAGGGTGCAGTCTGCGGACGGGACGGCGCCCCGGCTTCTTGGTGACATGATTCTTTTTGGGTTTAAGTGCAGAATTTCACACTCTCTAGACGTAAATTATAATTTTAGGGTTATTTATACAACTAAGACCAAAGATAGGTGTTGTAATGATTATGCACACCTTCTGACTCCACTAACATTATCTGATACAGAGAATTAGGCTAGATATAGGCTACTGTATGCATGTAAGCTAGAACAGAGTAGTTATACTACTATATACTTTTGTCGCAAAAACGACGCCGTTAATTACGGGCAGTACTTCACGCATTATGTCTCTTAGCACAGCGATTCTGTGCGACAACTTTATATAGGAGGGGCCAACCAATCAAGTTAGTTACAGGAGTGTTTGTAGGTCACATAATATGTTTAATTACTACAGAGTACTCTATACTTTCAGTTCACGCCTTCAATACTGCTCTCTCACCCATTTCATCAGGCGCTCTTTGTCAAGCGCACCTTCGACCATAACGCCAATAGCAGGCTCAAATCAAGCCTCATTTCTCCAAAAGCATGTCTTCCACCAAAAATATTGCCTAGAACGTCAGCACCATAGAGGTACCAGCTACACAACACGCAACAGGAGACAAAACAGTACACAATCTCAGGAGCAAAAAGGCCCTACGTATCCTCATACAGACAAAGACACACCTTATACCTAGGGAAGATTATAGTAAAAAGAGAAAGTTTATAAAGGATAGAATCTGCTAGGAAATCTAGGGCTGCAATTTCTATCCCTTAACAGACTAGTAGTATTCTTATAATACTAATTTTAGCTATAACAACCAGAGTTACTATTTCCTTCTTAATTATAATAACGCCCTAAATAACAAGATTACATAAGAAGATATTCTATTAGCTTAGTATAAGTAGACAGGTAAAGTCTTATAAGTGTTAGTTTCACTAGGGTGGTGATATAGTTAACTATACGTATTAATAGGCAAGTGACAAATAATAGGGGTAAATACCGGTTCTAAATTATGCGTAAAGGAAAGGAAACTATTATAGGATTACGCAGCGCATCTACTGCGTAATATCCCTATAAATCTAGTAGATCTATAGTAAATTAGCTGTAGTTATTCCAGCCGTTTAGCGTTAATCTATACTACTAATATCTAGGCAATAGTTAATATTATAACACTAGTAACCTTCTAAAGTGCTATAAATTATCTTATTTTCTAGTTATCTATAAAGGGCCTAAAAGCATAATAAAAACAAAAGGCTAAAAAGTATTTAATACTTTTTATATATATAACTAGTTACGTATATAAAACCTATCTATTTATCTATATCTCTAATTAACTGCTGTTAATTAACTACTTTAGTGCTTTATTAGGTAATACCTTTATAAATCTATTTACTAGGTTATTTTCCCCTTATATCTATTAGATCTTATAGATCTTATGTTACTTATATAACTAGTAAAGCGCTATAATATTAATTATAAGTCGCTTCTCCTTAGTAGTATTAAGCTTTATAAGGCACTTATTAATATAGCCTTTTTAGTAGCTGTTATAGTTCTAATAGGATAAAGCTAGGCTGCAGTAGTGTTATAAAGTAACGTAGTGTAAAGGTAAAGCGTAATAGTAAAGCAGTAAAGCAAGATAAATAATAATAAGAAGCTAAATAAGTAATATAAAATAAGATAGGTAATAGGTAGTAAGTATATTTATAGTTAACCCTCTGTCTATAAAAGGTTACCTACTAAAGGGATATATACCTAAGGTATATATAACATATTATATATATATTAGGTATTTAGTCCTTACTATTTATTTATCTCCTAACTATAGGCACTTACTACCTTATCTTATAATAAGTGCCCCCCCTTAAAAAGACCTTATCTTCTTCTACTAAATACTTTAAGAGCTAATTAAGAAAGTAATATCTACTATTTCTTATCTCCCTTATATTATAGCCTTATACCTTAAGGTTATTTATTTATATTTTAACCTTACTATTTACTTATTATTATTATTACTTAGGTTAATAGCCTTAGCCTAGCGCTTTTTTTCTTATAGGCCTATAAGGCTACTAAGTTCTTCTACTAAGTAAGGTTACTTATTACTTTTACTACTTAAGCTTATATTACTAATAACGCTTTAGGTAGTAGTATATATCTCTTACTAAAAGTAAAATATTTTTATAAGTAAGGTAACTTAATTCTATAACTACTTAAAATCCCTAGCCTTAAACTTATTAAAGGTATTAAGATTATTTACTTTATAGTTAAGGTTTTTAACTTTATTTTTAATAGTATTAATCTATTTCTTAATATTATTAATTTAGGCTACTTACTAGTAAATCTTCTTAGCCTTAGTATATAAGCTTTTTCTAATAGCCTTATTAATATTACCTTATACTACTATAGCTACCTTAGCCTTATTAATAGCTATTACTAAGGTAGTAGTGTTCTTTATATTCTTATAAATTAACTTAGTGTACTTATTAACTTTAGTAGTAAGGTTAGTAACTTAGTCTTCTAGCTAGTTAATTAGGTATAATTAGCCCTTTATATAGTAAGTATACTAAATTTCTAGTATAAAGATATAGTCTAAGCGCTAGATAAGTAAGAGGGTACTTATAACCTTAAAATTACTTTACTTAGGTTAGTATAAGAATATAAAGCTAATTAACGCTATATAACTAAGAAGTTCTTTAGACTATAGTTTACCTTCTTTATAATTAGTAAGGATAATATCTATAAAGGCTATAATCTACTATTAGAAGTACTTATCTAAAGTTAAAAAAGTATATAACTATTTAGTATTAAAGCTTTATTAGCTTATATAGAAGCACTAGACCTAGACCTTAGTCTTTTTATATAGTATTTAGTTACTACTACTATAAAAGGCTTTATTAAGGCGTATAATTACTTTTTTCTTAATAGGGATTATTAACTTCTTAGTAGTATATATATTTTTATATAAGGTAGTAAGTGCTTTTACTTTAGCTACTATAGTAACCTTTTTTACTATTTTATTTCTAGCTTTCTTAATAGCGTTTTATCTAGTTAATAGTATACTATCTTAATTAAGTGTGTTAAGGTATTACTTAATATATTTATAAAGCTTATTATACTTTTTTTATTACTTAACTATCTTTTATTACTAAATATATTTATTAGCCTCTTTAGTCTTATTATATATATTATCTAGAAGTTTAATTTCTTTAGTTAGGACTTTAAACACCTTAGAGTTCTTACTACTTACCTTATTATTATTAAAGTTAAGGTTAAGATCTATATTACTAGTGTCTTTATTACTATAGTTAGGGTCCTTTATAGTAGCCTTATTATTTTAGCCTTTCTTACTTATACTACCTATACTAGTGTCTAGTTAGTTATTATCTTAGGCTAAAGGATTAATAAAGGTAAAGCTAGGTCTTATAGCGCTACTATTATACTTCTTTATAAGCTGCTAATTACTAGTAGCACTAGCCTAAGTAAGGTAGTTAATATACTTAGATATCTTATTATTATTAACGTCTTTATTAATAAATTTATTGAAGTTAAAAGTGTCTTAGTTAAGGATATCTTTATATAGGTTAAAATTACTTATAAAGCTTTAAGTTTTCTTAATAGTGTAATTACAAGATTACATATTATACTTATAATTAGCTTTTAACTACTACTAGCGTTATAAAAAGTAAAAGTAAATTATAATATAAAAGGTAGTAGTAAATTATAAAGAAAAGTAATAAGTTAGATAGGTTAAAAAAATAAAAAAATAGTAGTTATAAGTAAGTAGGTTAAAATATCTTTTAGCTATTAACTATAGGTATAAGTAAAGTAGGTGTAGTTACCTATTTTAAATAGTTACTTTTTTTATTTTTTTTAACTATTAATAACGTATAGTTATTTAAGTCTTTTTTTATTATACTATTATATAATTTAATAAAAAGAGAGTGTTAACGTATTAAAGGTGTTATTTCTTCTTATTAAAAAGAAGATTAAAAAACAAAAGTGTTATTAAAAATAATAGTATAAGGCTAAGTATTACCTTATATTATTAAAAAGGATTATAATAATTTAGGTATTATTAGTAAGGGGTTCTAGAGGAATTCCTTTAGGGCTTATTTCTAGCCTTATTTCTTTACGTATTTTAAACTCTAGTTAATAAGGTTACCTTTTTTATATTCCTTTACTAAGTTACTAGCGTTTAGCATAAGATTCTTATAAGGCTTCTATATATTATCTACTAGTAAGTACCCCTTCTACTTAATAAAATACTTAACTAATAGCTAATTCTTCTTTTAGTTAATTCTTTATCTTATAACTTATTTAACCTTATACTTCTTTATACTATTAACCTTTACTAGTTTTAGTAGTTACTACTCCTTACTAAAAGGATTTTTACTTATAGGTGCTTTTTATAGCTATATAGTTAACACTACTAGGTGTACTTTTTATTATAGCAGTAGGTTAAGTTTATAGGCCTTAGGCCTAACTATATAAGTAATCTAGAAAAGGCCTATATATTAAGGAGACTACTTCCTCTTAGGCTTACTAGGTAGTAAGTAGCCTTTACTAAGTTAGAGAAATACCTTATTACTAATAGTAAAGTCTATAAGGTAATAGTAATAGTTATATTACTTTTTTTATATTAATCCTACTATATTAATTAAAGCTAGAGCTTTAGATTAGTAAGTCTAGTGTAATACGTCTAAGGACTTTATTAGTAGTCCCTTAGTATTAATATACTTTAGTACTATTTATAAGTAAAATCTAAGGACTAGTTTATTTAGTAACTACCTTATTATAACTATAAGTAAGTTATTAAGTAAGTATTATAGTACTAGAAGTATATTAATTTATAGTATATTTAGGTTAGTATATATATAAAAATAAATAGTAATCTTAACTATTTAGTTAGTTTTTTTACTTTAACTATTAGTCTAAAGGTAGTATACTATAAAGATAAGTAGCTTTACTT